AGCACATGTTAGGATCATGTACAAAGATAGGAAATGGCTCCTTCTTTAATTTGAACCAACAGGAAATAACCCTTTTTACAAATGTACACAGAAAAATCTGCTTAAAAATTTGAAGTGTTTAAGTCCTGGATAAATTTTCTGAAAGTTGTAAGTGAAAAATGAAGATAAGCCATATGGGGGTTGTTCATCCAAAGTGAGTGACATGACAATGTTAAGGTGACTGTCTTGTAGCTATATATGTATAGGTACCCATTGCATGCTTGTATACATTATCATTACCATGCTATGAGGCCAAATTTTTCATTTCCGTCCAGCAAAACTAAATGGATAGTACAGGAAAATCATTTTGAGTGGTAAATTTCAGTCCATGATGACTTGATTTGTAAAATTGTTGAGATAAACACATCGCATGTTTGTTCAATTTAGATTATTCCTGTATGAGAAAATTTGAATGCATGGGTCTTAGATCTGACCTACAGAGACCTGCTTTGTGGCTTAATTTATGGTGTCAAAATGGAAAATGCTTATAGCCATATAAAGTGTTGGCCAAGTGCGAAAAAGTCACCTCCTGAAGTTAGGCAAGTGCAAAAGTTTTTTAAAAAAATTTAAATTGTTATACTTAAAACAAATGGCCCTCTGGGAACCATGAATGCAAGATGAAAATCTCATTGAACCAGGATCGAAAGCTTAATGAGAATTTGTTTATTCTGACCACTTCAACACACTCCCTTTTTCACAGCAGGACACATTCCGAACAAACTTTCAATATTTGTATTTTTGATTTAATCAGCTCTTCTGTGGGGGATTGGTAACTTTACTATCACTCTAAACTGGAGACAGTTGGGAAGATTTTATCAACAGGCAAGCAGAACTGATTGACATAGTGTATATAATACTCCTTCTGGGTGGTAGCTATGCATCATGTATTACAGTAGTGTGGATAGGTACCCAGGCATGTACTAGTACCAGTACACTGTTCATATCAATCCACGTGGCTATTTCTCAGGAGATCAGAATCGGCTTGGGTTGATTCATGTAGCAATTAAGCAATGGATTGCTTGATAACCTGTTGTAGGTTAATTTTAAAACATTTGTGTCATCCAAGTCTGTGAAATAAAGAGTCCTTTTTACATCATAAACAAGGCAATTGAGGGAGTACAGTATTAACTACTCTGTACCTATACTAAGGAGATTGTGCATTTATGCTTATGGAGACAGTTACTTTGTTATATGATCATCATAAAAGGTCTTAATTGATTCAGAATTCATGTACTGGAGTTAATTGTGACGGAGCCAACCCTGTTAGCATAACCACAATAATATACAGTGTATTTGACTTCTATGTAAAAGACTTAAGTGGACACTTTTGGATCCACATTCTAGCAGAAAGCAACAAGAAATTGATATACATCAGCCATACACAAGACGGATAATTATACATTCTGAAATTGGCATCTATTGTTTTTTTCTGATCCTTATCATCAATAATTGTTTGTACCTGTACATGTTAGTGATCAGTGTAAATACAGTAAGTTTAGGAAGATGAGGCCAAGTACAAGTAGCACTTATTTTTTTATATAACAAGCCAGATAATGATACATATGTATCATCGTATGGGGCACTCTGCCAAAAATGGCAGGTAACGCTATATGCCTACAGTTAATTCACTGGTTACTATCCCATTACTTTACGATGAAGATAATCAGGGTGGGGGAACTATTTGAATTAGTTTTAATACCTTGAGGTAGTGGATTCTTTAGTTATGATTTCACACAGTCAGCCACAGTCTGGCAGTATAGTTGATACGGTATATTTTATATAGGACTCAACTTTCCATATGCTTTTGAAGTACATTTGAATATAAAGCATGTATTTTACCTGAAGGTTTTAAAGGTTTAAGCCATGTAATTAATGAATGTCAGGACCCTGTTGAATCCTACAAAATCAGTTCAATATTGCAAATCTAATACTTTCCAATGGTGGAAAAGTTAAACAAAGTGATTCCATTTTGCCGGTACATTCTGCTACAGGCGCTAAACCATTTAAACTGTAGGCCTGGAAGTGTGGCAACATTTCATATGTACAGTACGTAGAGCCCAAGGCTAACTTTCAGAATGCAAATGTGAAGTTTTATAGCAGGTGTTTGGTATGCAATTGTCTAGAGATAACTAAATAACACACAACACAGAACAGGGGTCTTCATAACTGGTTCAGCTCTCACCCTCTAAGCATGGACAGATTTTTGGGGTGGAGAAAGCCAAACAAGTGGAAAGTGGTAATTTATTTAATTGAAATCATCTGAGACTATTAACTTTTAAATTGAATTCATTTGTGATTAACATTAAGGTCAATAGAAGGTGATGGTTAAATTTAATTAAGTTCTCTTAAGTAGGTTAAGAGACTGTGCCTTCTCCCCAATAGATAGTCTCTGGGGTATGAGGTAAATTGTCCATTAAAGGGCAGTCAGGTACACAATAGGGTCAAACAGCCATGGTAAATTGGCCTTGGAAGCATAAATGACCCGAGGTCGCGGTGATTATGGCCCAGCTGTCCTGTGATCTTATTGTGACTGATACCAGCTAATGTTAACTTGGAAAATTTAGTGACCGGTGGAGTTTGTCAACATGCAAGTTTGAATAAAGCAAAGGTTCGGTCCTTTAACAGTTTGACAGAGGTACATGTGCTGGAGTTGATGTACTTCTGTTTGTGGCCTCTCTGTACATTAAGCAGGTGAGATGATAAGGGACGGAATCAGCTAGATATCATCAGCTAGGCCAGTCAGCTTGGTGGAAGGCACACTGTATCTCACGGACCAGTTGTGGTGTTGTCTGAGAATGTTATTCTTCCCTTGTATGATGTGAAAAAAAACAGGATTTGAAATATGAAGAGGTTATTTATTTTTAAAGATTTCATTTGTTTTGTTTGAATGGCAGTATTTATCTTTCATTGTTTGATTAGGGGCAAGGTGAGGGTTACAATAGCACAGTGTTACGGTACCAAGTTCCAAAGTCTGAAATTATGTTTTTTATATGAACTTCAATCTGTTACAAAATAAGTGGATATATTATCTTGTGGATAACATATGTGAGTAAGTGTAGGAATTAATGAATGAATACAGCTATTTTGTATTCAATTGAATGTTTCCTTTTAGCAAAACTGCATTTTCATAATTATTTGGATTGAATATGTGCTATTTTAGAGATTACACAACATTGAAGATTTATTTGTTGGTGGTTTGGTGATTATTTAAATTTCATATAATTAACCTTCAGAAACTTTTTTTCAGCATCCTGGGCACTATCGCCATGACAGAATAGGGCATCCTCCACAAAATGGTTACCGTGACTATGGTCGATACAGTTATCATGACAACCAAGCTCAGTATCTAGCTCCTGACGGAAGGCGTTATGTTTATGGCCCCCCGAATCAGCCTAGTCACAAGAGGCACAAATTACCAAAATCAGACATAGAAGATGCCCGTTATCAGTCACAACCAGCTATTCACTTAGGTGGACCAGCAGATCAGCAACAATACTCCCAGGTAGACCAATATGCAAGTTTTGACCGTAAACCATACTATTACTCACACACTGATATGCATGCAATGGATAGGAGAAATGATCTGTACTGGCACCAGGCTGGTCTCCTTCCACCTGTAGATAGTAAAACAGCCACCAAGAGATCTCATCCTTTATCAAGTGATTCAGATATGGATAGTAGTGCAAAACGTTTGTGGCCACAGGATCAGCGTGGTGGGATTCCTCCACCAAAACCACCCAGGCTGAAAGAGCATAATCCATCATCACCAGCAGCTTATCGAAGGGAAGATAAATCACCATCTCCGTCCATGAAGAGAAGGTTTCAATCACCTTCGCCAACTCGCCATGGTGACAGAAGGTCACCCAGTGGACGACCTCCTTCTCCAAAGCGAGGCCAGGTGCCCAGGAGCCGCAGTGCCGATATCAAAGAAAAAATGGATAAATTTGCTGAATTACAACGGCGGCGACGTGAATTAGACACTGCTTCAGATGAGGCAGCACCAGCATACCGTCGAGGTCCACCTCAACCCTATCATCCAGGTCCACCAGATCCCAGCATGCCTGATAACTACTATCACCCCTCAAGTCCATATCATAACTACTGGAAGCAACACCAGTACATTGATACTGACTCAGAGTTTGAGGAGGTGCTTAGACATAACATGGACTACAACATAAGGTATGGTGCTGATGGATATGGGTATAGACCACCAGTGAGGAGGAGGGAAGATGAGTATGTTCATCTGAGGCCACAGAGTTATCCAGCCTCGGCCAGGCCTGGGGAATTACCTCATGAGAGAATGTATAGACCTGAAACAGATTTGGAGGCCCCACCCAGACCACCCCCACCAAGATACCCACCAGATGCCACCTGGGAGAGGGGTGGCGAGCCCCCTTACAGAGGTCATGTGGCCCGTTCACATGACTCAGATGACATTTTATTTGATGATTATAAAAAACAGCTGCAGGAGTTTCAGGCCATTCATAAAGCAGAGATGGGACCTTATGTGCAATTAGAGAACAAGGAGAACCAATATTATGGTTATCAGCCTGCTGCTTCCAGTCAGAGGTCACTTAACTTGACAGATGATCCTCCTGAAATCAATTATCAAAAAGAACTGGAGTTATTCCAAGAGAGTCAAAGACAGCAGAAACAGTACTCTGGTTCAAAAAATTATGATGATCCTTATTCATCTGAATTTCAGTCAAGGCCACTCTCTTCTGAAGACCCAAGAGCAGAATTATATAGCAAACCTAATAAATTCAGAAAATCAGGATTACCTGATCCAAGACAAATGCCCCTAGGGGAACTTAGTGTAGCTATTCCTGGAGAGTTACCACCCACTTCAGAGGAAAGAGAAAACCAGTATCCTTTGGAAACAGCAAGATCCTTTGATCAAATGGATTATGTAGAAACTACACCTAAAACTAAAGGAAGAAGCAGGGATAGCTATACATATTCAGTCAATCCCCCGCCAGAAGACCTTAGAAGCCCTCAGCAGCTGGATTTTGTTGAATCTCGTGATGATTTTCCATCACGCTCCCAGGAGATTCTTGTCGTAGATAGGGAAGGGGAGTTGTACACATATGTGGAAGATGGTTCTGAAGATCACGGAAAGCTTCTTCCTGTACATACAAGGCAAAAGAGCATGTATGTGTATGATCCATCAGAAGGAGGAAAAGGAACCCATAGAGTACACCCAAAGAACAGACATCATAGGGATCCCTCAAATGTTGGAGAACTAGACCATACTTATCACAGTAGGAGTGAAAGTGAAGCTGAAATGCAGCGTATTTGGCATTACAATCTTGTGTTTGGTGATGAATCAAAATCAGAGCCTCCACACCAGAATGGGAATCACAGTCCTTTTCAGCCCATCAAACATGACCGTGATGGTTCCATCATTGAGATTCAGTCTCCCAGCCAGCAAGCCGTCAAACCTCAACAGATGTATGCTCAGAAGGTAAGACCTGTGCAATCAGAAGGTTATTCTGGACCTATCTATGTATTGGCAGCCAATAAGAATCAGGGGGAGATGCCACCTGAGAAAAAAGAATCGTCAAGAAAGGTGTTTCAGTCGCCAAAACCAGCTGCCAAAGTGCCTTTGCAGTCCTCTGAACCTAAGCAAACTTCTAAGGATTTGGGTGTGTCTAAGTCAAAAGAACCTGTCCAAGAGGTAGACAAGAGCAAAGAACTAGCCAGAGAGAACCAAGAACCAGATGAGGTCCCTCGAGTTAATATTGCACAGATTAAAGCAAGTCTCATGATGGCAGCTGCACACAAAGACAATGTATCTGATGCCATTGATAGTTTCAGGAAACTACCAGATGTTGAAGAACAAGTGTTCCAAATAAAATCAGGAAATATAAGCCATAAGCAAAAAGAAACTGAAAAGGAAAGACCTGTGCCTAAACCAAGAATCTCAGTTGTTAAAATGTCCCCTGCAGATACATCTGACAAGAAACCTTCCAATCATTCAACTGGTGCCACAAGTTCAGCAACAAAAGAAGCTCAAAAATTAAAGCTTATGAAGTCAAATGTGCCAAAGTCTGAACAGTCTAGTCAGAAAGAAAGGAAGCCAACTTCTCCCATTGAAGTTGCAAGTAAAAAGATTGACTCCATTATATTTGGCCCTTCGAATCTAAAACACAGAGCCAAGGTATCGGATGCCTTGACAGAACTTGAAGAAATGTATGACAATCTTGATCTGAATAATGATGCTATTTTAGATGGTGCTGCCAGAAGAGATTACGTCCCCCTCAGAAGTCCGGACAATTTAGCTGGATCTGATTCAGGGTCAGGATCTGCAAAATCAAACCTCTCTGCATCTAATTTACAAAAACATCAAACAAAAACTGAACCAGCAAATCAGGGTTCTGGTAATCTGGAGTATACTAAAAAATGGCTCTCTGATGACGAGGTGAAGGCCACAGAGTCCAGACATGACAGTGGGTATGCAGAGCAAGAGGACATAAGCCCCAGAGGGGATGTCCAAGGAAACATGGTGTTCATAAAACCCATGCCTAGAAAGGCAATGGAGAACTCTAGTGATGATAACAGTAACAAGCCTCAGAGCAGATCTGGTAGCTACTTGTCTTTACCCTCTGGGGTGTCACCCAGTGTATCTCAAGACAGTTTATCTCAGAGATCACGCGGAGGATCTCCAAGAGCGAGAGCAGTTGTTGCTGATGCAGTTTTCGATGACATGAGTTACAGGAATGCTCAACGATCAAACACTGCTCAAGTGGAATGCCCGTCACCTAATACTCCTTCTCCAACTTCAGCCGATTATTTACGACCACGTCACACAGAGCCTGCTAGAGCACGCATGCGTCTCAGACCAGAACGAGAACCAGATGTTCACCATGATGACTTAGCATATCGCAGATTGCGTAGGGATGTGTCCCCAGTACAAGCAAAGCTACCAAGATCAAAATCATCAAATAAGCCAGTGGTTTATGAAAGTAGCCTTAGAACAAGGTCTTCTTCATTGGGGGAAATTTCTTATAATGTGACAAAAGAGAAACCACCAAGGCCAAATAGTGGTAACTTTGAGAACAAAGAAAAGAAGAAGTTTGAACCCAAAAAACCTTCTGGAACAGGGGTGGCCATGATGATAGAACTGTTTAACCAACCAAATGCATCAAAAAGTCTTCCTGATTTGACAGATCAGTCCATGTATAATGTTGAGTTGAATTCTTATGGCGACATTGTGTCAGATGAGGGCACAAAAGAAACACTTATTCAGAAAGAGACTCATAAATCAGTACTCACTATGGCACCATTAAAAACTCAGACCCCTCGCACTGTCAAACAGCGCAATGAAAAACGAACGAAGCTCATTAAAATGCACCAGTCAAAATCAGAAGAAAAACCTGAAGATGATGGGTTTGATCCAAAACAGTACAAGTGGCTTGTACTGATGAATGCTCCACGCAATCCTGTTCATCCATGGCGAAGGTTGAGAGAATCCAGTCCTCTCAATAGTAGAACAGAAAGTAAAGAAAGCATCAGTTCTGTTGGATCAGAGGGATCACATGGTAAGATGATGTCACATGAAATGAGGGAAGGGCTTCCTCGCTCTTCAAAAACTTTTCTCAAGTTCAATGGGCCCCAGTATGACAGCTGCTCCTCAGATGACGAGATTCTCTCTGAATATGACAACACTCGCAGGGTCTCTCTTAGGGTACGTTCTCACAGTACATCTGATCTAGGTGCTGACGATGGGAGCGAAACACACCAGAGCTTATTTGAGCTGGTGCAGCTTTTTGAAGCCAAAATGAAAGCCCAGCGCCAAGCGTTCCGTAAAGAGATCAACCCAAGGGATGCACGAAGTCTGAGGCAGATGTATGGTTCTGATCCAAGTCTGACCAACAAACGCAGTAAGCAAGGTAGTGTACGATTTCGCTCAGTTTTGCACGTGCACATTCAGTAGCTTGCAGTGAGGGATAATTGGATTTACCCTAAATTTTAACCTGTTACTGTCATGCAGTATTGTTATTATTTTGAAAAAAAAATTAAGCACGTTTTTTGATGCATGAACATGATGTTTGGGATAGTTCATTATGGGTATTTGATGTAAAGAGAGCATAATCTGCACTATAACCAATCACCAATTAAGGTTGCACTTTTTTCTCTAACCATTACCAAGTGGCTAACTGGGACACATTCAGATAACCAAAATGAAAAAAACGATAGGATTGTTTTACAACTTTATCTTATTCTACAAATCAACTCAATAATTAAGAATTTTATGAATCTGTTAAGTTATGATGCCAGACTTCAACAAATGGGCAGCTCTTTTTAAGTAACATATGTTTAAAAAACTTGAACAATGAACAGAGTATTTTCCTACCCTTTCTTTGATATAAAGCACCATGTTTCTGCAACACAAAGGGTAAAATTGATTATTACTTTTTTTGGTATGTTGATATAAATAAAAAAGGAAAGAAGAGTATCAAAACATGCTTGCAAAAGTTTTTTTCCCCAATTGCCGAATTACTAAGATAAGGGATGATGTACACTCCCATTTTAGAACACTTTATTACATTTTAAAGAAATATTAAAACAGTATTGTGTTTACATATGGGTTAGGTGACTTCATATTATTATTAATAGGAATGCCTTGTTAAATGATTTACCCTAAAACAACACTATGATAGCTGGTGAACACTTAATATTTGAGTGGAAATAGAAAAGAGTACTTGAATTTTATACAGTGTACCGGTAGAGTGTATAAGTCTTATTTTTGATAGATGAATAGTTATTGTTAATGTCGAGTATTAATCTTCAATACAGTGATGGCTATTGTAAATCTTGCTTATCTTGGACTGCGTCTCTCTGTATTAGCATACTCGTTAACTTGGTATGGTGGGGTATCATGCATACTGCTCATATGGCTTACTTCCTTAACCATACATTATTTCCAGTTTTAACCCTTTATTATTTCCCAGTATATGCTTGCATGCCTAAGGAATTGAAGACTGTACATTTTGTTTATTTCATTGTCAGCTTATCATGTGAAGCTAATGGTTTTTATGACAAGTTATTTATTGAATTTTTTTTTGGAAATATTTTTCTTTGCACGTAAACATTTGGTTACTAATCCCCTCTTTGTGAACAAGGAGTTTATAATTGATGGGAGTTTACAATTGTTTCTACTTATCTGCATTCAGTATCAGGCCTGTAGCCTTCTGTTTAAAATGGGAGGGGGTCTCTTTCTAAAAATGTGGACCCCTTTACCCCCTTAGTTGACCCAACTTTGGAAATTGCATAGAATATGGATCAAATTTTGATTAAGAGCAGACCTTTTTTGCCAAAAGGGTGATTCTTTTGACTCTCCCCCCAAACACCCTTGACTACAGATCGAGTCTAAGGCTTCGTTCACATGGAATGTCTATTTTCTAAAAATCTATTTTCTATTCGCGCTACCTTATGATCACGGTCTGTGCTCTGAATATCCCGCCGCGTAATTACTGGCAGCGCGAGCCAGTTACTTGTAGTAACTTATAGTAACTGGCTCNTTATAGGAAGACAGGCCTCCATCGAGTCCCAATTGTCAGCTAGGGTAGGGTCACCCCAGTACCAACAGCAGGGACAGCCTGCCCAGCTCCCAGCCTCAGATGGTATGAGAAGACACGAGGTAGACTCTCTACTCAATAGTCAGAGGGATGTCAGTAACATGATCAATGATGTCAAGTAAGAGCCCACCTGTGCTATGAAATTTTATTTACTGGGGGAGGCTCTCTTATATTGGGAACTTTTTATTTACAACAGCTTCTAATGATTAAAACATAACGCAAAAAAATATGCTCTTCATTATTTAATGAAAGCTTTAAAAATTTTTTTTTTTTTAAGGAGCATTAGGAATGTGTCAACAAAACTTCGCATTTAGTAAAGAACGCTCGGTGATGTTTGGACTTTTCTGACATAACATACCCACTTACGACTTGTTTACAAACTTTGTGACATTTTTCAGGACGCTACCTCTTGTAAACAAGCTGGATTACTCCAAAAAATTTTTTTTTTCATATTTTTTACTCATGTGGTAAACAGATTTTGTCTTACAATTTTTATCAAAATCGCTAGGGCAGAAATGGTGTTTCTGAAATATGAGAGAGTCTCCTTAAGGATTTTTTGAAGCAAAAATCATCTTTATGTGAAATAGTGTCTGCATAAAATTGTGTTATCATCATCTTCAGGGTAGAATGGTTTTGTTACTTTGTTCTTTTGTGTAGAGTATACTAGGAGCGTAAACTGTGACTGAATGTTTATGTTGGGATATTTTCCATTGGCTTTGTATGAATAAAAGAAAGGGTTTTGTTCTAAAGGATCCAATTTGTAACCAAAATGTATAAGGCAATTATTCTTGTGCCTGAATGTTTTTAAGTGGTGCATTTTTGGAATGACATTTGACAATATTTTTAGGTTTTTAGTAAGTGATATACAGAAGAGGTCTGCACAGGCACAGGGTCCAGGTGGAGGAGACCCCTTTGCTTCCCAGCAACTCCTACACCAAATCAGAGATAACATGAATGAGCTAAAAACTGATTTACTTTCAAGGCCTAACCAGGTATGGGTGATCACCTCTCCATTACTTTAGTATTTTGTGGATTGAACTTTTAAAGGCTTCCACAATGAGCCTTACACGTTTATGTAGTCAAAATGTTATTTCCTTGGAAATTTTCACTTATTGTATCCAAAACCATTGACAGAGCTATTAATTAGTTAATTCACAGTTATAATTAATAAGTTGTCCATTAACTTATTTTTGAGTTTGAAATTTCCGGTATTTGACTCGCTCTCATAATGGAATTAGAGAGTAACTCAAAATTTTAAAGGCCTGGGGTAAAAATTTGTGAGGGGATTTACAGTCCTTGTTTAATATCTGTAAAGCTGTAATGTGCCGTGTACCTTTAACATGAATTTGAGTCTGTATCTACAAGGTAGATTTAACTGTGGTTAAAGTTGCTGTGGATTAATTTACATGTTTTAATATATCATATCTTTATATTTGTTTTTGCTTGAAAATACTCTTGAAAAAAGGTGTTTTTTTATATTGTAAAACCTAAAAAAGTTGGCTTTATATGAATAAAAGAAAGAATTTTGTTCTCAGGAATCAAATTGGTGACCCAAATTTATAAGGCAATTATCATTTGTTCCAGGGTTGTCCACCAGTCCAGGGCGGCTCCTGTCTAACACCAGCCTACTTTTTTATATTCATGGGTGCTCAGTTAGCAATGATGATAGGATATATTGTTTATAGGTAAGTTTGAAAAATAGTTTAACAATTAAAAATGCTAATATTTCATTAATTCAACCTGTTCCACATTACAATTTAGTTTTTCATTTAGTTGTATTGGATTGATATTGAAAGAAAGTTTTTCTTGAATGTATTTTCTTTAACCTTTCAGAAACAGCAAAGAGGCAGCAGCCAAAAAGTTCTATTAATATATTTGAAGCCTTTTGTTAAAAACAAAGAAATTCAAAAGAAGAAGAAAGAAATTGTGATCAGCCTACAGCTGAATGCTTCCCATCGAGACACCTGTTGCAATTAAGTACCAAATAATATATTTGGAAAAATAGTTGGAGAGAAATTTTAAGTTTAAAATAATAAAGCTTTGTGGTTGTCAGTTGTCTGTGGTTAACAGCTTCAAATGTTCAATGTGAATTTGGCACAATTACCTACACAAAGAGTATGTATGCAATTATACTTATGAAAAAGTATGGCCTTCATTACTGTACATTAACTTGCTTTATGGTTTATGAATTTGCTGACCATTGTATTTTTTTCATAGTCCATTTGCATATGAAGTGAAAATGGATATTAAGTTTTAATATCCTATATTGTGAACATACCCTTGACTCGACCTGCTGAAGTAATAAATGCTGCAGATTGACCTTTTAAGTATAGTGTCCATATCCCATGGGAACACCCGATTCCTGTGAAACAAAGCCACAGGAATCGGGTGTTCCCATGGGATATGGACACTATACTTAAAAGGTCAATCTGCAGCATTTATTACTTCAGCAGGTCGAGTCAAGGGTATGTTCACAATATAGGATATTAAAACTTAATATCCATTTTCACTTCATATGAAGGGGGGGGGGGGTATAATGTCATACTCACTGTTGAGAACATACATTTAAAAATACATCATTGATATCATTTAGTAAAAGTATAGAAAAAATTAAACGATGAATAGTTGGCATAATTAATGTTTTGATTTTTCGTAGGTACTTGCTGAAACTTCATTCAGCATTTCACTGTGCTTGTTTTCGGTAGTAATTAAGTTTAATTAACTTTGTGAAAGCAAATTAAGTATCCATGGTAGAATCCCATGTGTGTGTGTGATCATCTTGTGTTTTTGTAGCTCATTTTTGTCCATCTTATCATTGCCAGCTTGCAGGACTTGATTTAAACACATTTTGTAAAAATGTTTGGATGATCACATTTCTAGTCAGTTTCAGTAGCTTGATGTTTTTTAGCTTCATTGCTATGATGTTGTATTGAGAAAGTTCATGTTAAAGACACGAATGAAATGGTAGTCTTCTCTCAGGCAGTTAAAACATATAATAGTTGAAAGACAAGATGAATTATAAGGGTAGTGGGTATTTTTTTTTATTTAGTTACCATAAAGTTGTTTTTTTCTTCCTATGAAGTAAGAAACGGCTTTATCAGTATATGCCTGACTGTTAGTCATGAAATGATATGTTGTCAGATATTTCCAGTATGGTATTAAGATATTAATATGTAAGATAATTTATATGATAATTAGGTAGACATTTAGCTTTTTGTATTTGATTGGCAAATATTGTATTTTAAATAGATTTCTAGGGGCCAAGGTGTTTTATTGTGTTTGAAGGCAGAGACTATGCTTTCTTGCCTGTG